AGGGGCGGCGGGAGCGGCGACGGCACAGCCGCGAGCGTGGGAGAGTGGGGGAGAAGAGCAGCTGTGCAGGGTTGCGCGCCCCTCTCTTCTGGGCAGCACTGGGAGACCCCGCTCAGCTTAGCTCTGTTCACAGCTGGCCCTGACTGCTAAGAGGTGACCTGGTTCCTGTCCGTCCCCTCCAGCCAGCGCTGCAGCCGGTCCGAGAGCCCTGCCCCAGCGAGGAGCTGCCCTGCGGGAACGCAGAGCCGCCGGTCACGGCCCCGGTCCGACAGGGAACAGCGATGGAGGCTGTGGGATCTCGCTCGCCAGAGCTGACGGTGCGGTAGCAATACAGAGCCTTCCTTGCCCTCCTGCTTTCGAGCTCCTCTGCGGTGTTCAGGGCCACCTGGGCTCATCACCCACCTGCTGGCGTCTCCTGAGCGTCTCCTTTTTCTTCCACATCCTGCTGGTCCTCCTTGACCTGCTCTTCCTCCTGTTTGATCTGCAGAGAGACTTCCAGGCTGCAGCTCAGAGGCTCTGTTACAGGAGATGAAAATTAAGCTAAGTTCCCTAGGAAATCACTGACCATCAGAGAACAGGACTTTTCTCCTCTGCAGCACAGCAGCACACCCGTCTAACTGACCCAGAGTCTCCGATGCACGTCCCAGCTGCAAAAAGGTCTGGCTGGATTTAGTCCAGCCAAAATCCTCTTGTTCCCCCTGCTCCCCCCGTGCATGCCAGGTCCAAACGAGCGTAGGCCAAAGATGGACCATACCCCAGGCGTGTTTGCGCAGCTCCTACACCACGCTGTGCATCCCTGCTTATTTGCTCCTATAATCCTCATGCCTTTGAGAAGTTATTGCATAAACCCACAGAGGCGGCTCCAGAGCATGCAGGACGCGCTGACACGACAGCTCAGGTCCAGCCGTACAAAGCTCAGGCAGCCCTCACCTGCGCTGGGGTCCGCAGAGCTCTCGCTCCCCTCCTGGCCCGGTCGCTCCCTTGGACATGGCTCTTCTCGCTCGAGCCGAGACAGAACATCAGGCTTGGAAATGGCATAGTCTGCTTATGGGAGAGGATACGACAGGGGATGACTGAAGGCAGAGGCACAGCTTAGAGTCCCTCATTGGAGTGAACGGCTACGGAGCAATCGGCCAACAAGGCCTGCGCTGCACCTCCCTGGAAGGCAGCAAAATAAAGTCGTAATTGCGTTCGCAGTGGCGACGGTCCGTGGCGTTACCAACAGGCTTTGTGGGGAGAGGTAACAGGTCCGGCGGGCAGACGCAACCACCGCCACAGTGCTTCTGGCAGCCTCTGGGACCAGGAGTGGCCGGGTGAACTGGGTTGTGTGGGCCCAGAACACCCAGCCTGCCCCCCCCTGCCACTTTCCTTTGGGACGCCTCACGCACCGTACAGCAAGCCCCTTCCCCTGCACGGGACGTGAAGTGCTGCACAGACCCCTCCCCGTGTCACACTTAAGGTCCAAGCCAGCCCGGAGAGGGCTCTGCACGTGGGGCAGAGGGTCGCGCTCACCACTGGTGGCGGGCGGAGCGGATCGAGCTGTGCTCGCTGCGGCTACGCCGAGAGCACGTACAGAGCTCACCCCGAGCCTCACGGAGCGACGCTTCACCCCAGCTATTACCTAGCGAGATCAGGGACTCGCAGCTGCCCCTCAGCACGTTCCTGCACCACTCCTTCTGCCGGTCCTCCAGGCTTCCCCACTCCTCCGGGGGGAGCACAGTATTGTCCTCGAGTGCTGCCAGGACCTGAAAGCAAATACTCAGCTCAGCACTGTTAGGTGTCACAACCTGATGCGCGGCCAACCGGGAGAACAGGGAACACACATCACCGCTCCAGCACTGCTCCGTGCTCTAGTTTAAGCAGTATTTACACGCAAAAGAGACACAGGAGGGAAGGGAAAAGAAGTTGGATTTGCTAGCAGGAAAGTCAGTACAAGAATTCTTAACTCTGCGGCAGCACAGTTCAAGGTGACTGCGATCCCCTCTTTGTAGGGATTACGTGCCTTGCTGCTACGTCCGGGGACCCTGCTAGGCCAGGCCCTGCTGCACAGACCAAGAAAGAGGCAGCCAGACAGGGGCGCAGGACTCGAGGAAATTATCTCAGCAGTGTCAAGAAGGCCTATGTGCCCTTGCAGCAACTGGAGAATAGTTAGGGAAACGGTGGCAACAAGAGCGCAGCGTTCCAGCGCTCTGCACGTCTAAGGTAGCTTCAATCCAGGACGTTGCAAATGCGTTAGAGAGAACGAGGCCCCGCACTTGAGGGGAAAAAGGCAGATATGTCTCAGGCTAAAACGTACCTGCAGATGTTTTGCTGCTCCATTCAGCTGGGGGCTACGTTTCAATTTTCTACAAAGAGTCTCTAGTGTTTCTTAGCGCTTGCGTGTGCAGCACTGACATTTAAGTGCCGGCAATCCCCTGGGTGCGTGGCAGCAAGGCAAAACAGTCCTGCTGGGGACAGAGAGGAGCTTAGTGCCAGGGCACTTCAGCAGTAACGCAGCCGAGTGAGAACACGGTGGCCTGGTCGGGAACATCGTAAGAGGACAGACGGTCTCCCTTTGCCTACAGCCAGCCGGTACTTTGTCACAGTTTGAGCAACCCCAGCTGCGTCAGTGGCATTGCGAGGGGGTGCAAACAAACAGCCTGTCCCATGCTAGACGGCACAGAGAAAAGAGAGCGAGCTGGTGCTCCTTGGACCGGCATCGCTCACGCTGCCCTGAGCGGACGGCTCTAGCGAGAGGAAGGACGGTGCCATCCTACAAGGCATGTGGGCTCCGCGTGGGAGGGACGGGAGGAGCAGTGCGACCAGGATGGCAGCAGAGGCAAAACAGGAAAGGATCTCTGGTACTCTGGCATGAGAGCTCTGCTTCTCTGCTGCCCCTGATTCGCCAGCCAATGTAAGGCCTGGGACGCTGACCACGTGCCCTGCTAGCCATGGGGTTAACTGGTTCCCTCCGAGCATAAGGGAACCTTAAATCACACGTTCACAAAGCCAGAAAGACGGGGCTCGGCAGCTAGAGCGACCTCCCCCAGTTCAAGTACTCCTCAAGGCAGTAACACGCCCTGAAGCTAACTAAATTGCTCTAAGTCACCGGCTTTTAAATGAAAAAAGGCCACCCCACTGCTACCCGCACTCTGCAGAAAGGAAGAGGCAGCTACCTTTGGGATGTCTCCGTTAAC